AGTAATTATACTATTCTCTCATAATCTCCATAACACAAAGTTTAAAAAAAGAAACAAACAATTAAATGGTTTTGGTGGAAATTCAATCTGTGCCTTATCTTACCACTGACTTTTTTAGGAGGTCCTCCCAGAAAGAAAAATTTAGCCATTCCCCACTTAGCCTAAAGCAGTGCAAAGAGTCTTAATCGGTTTGCATTCTGAATTCAGTATGATTAGAAGTGACTGAACCAAGGAACCAGGAGTTCTTGTAGTAACAAACGTCAGCTTAGTTTTTCCTCATAAGAGACAGCCTACAAGGCACCTGGGTTGGGCAACACAACCCACAAAGAGCTTATTAGATGACAGTTGATGTCAGATTGTCAAGATCTGTGGGAGCCCAAGACAGCATGAGCAAGAGTCTCACATATTCCTAAATCAGATCTTGGTCAATACAGAAGTTGCAAACTTTCTTACCAACTTGTGTAATGCACAAAGCTACTTTCTTACCAGTAGTAATGAATTTGTGCTAACTTGTCCCTATAATCAGTCAGCTGTAATCTGGAAGTACGGCTCACGAGATACAAAACTAAAGGTCCACAAAAAGATCTAAGCCATGATTTATTTGCACTGGTAACCAAGGGGCTAACCACATGACCCCAGGTGCTTACAAGTCATCCACTGGTTTGGCACATATTTCTCATGGTTTTTTTTGTTTGTTTGTTTTTTGTGGTACGCGGGCCTCTCACTGTTGTGGCCTCTCCCGTTGTGGAGCACAGGCTCCGGACGCACAGGCTCAGCGGCCATGGCTCACAGGCCCAGCTGCTCCGCAGCACGTGGGATCTTCCTGGACCAGAGCACGAACCCGCGTGCCCTGCATCGGCAGGCGGACTCTCAACCACTGCGCCACCAGGGAAGCCCTCTCATGTTTTTCTCTTTCCTTCAAACCCTTCTGTTATGGACTGAATGTTGGTGTTCCCCCAAAATTCATATGTTGAAGCCATAAGCCTCAAGATGATAGTGTTTGGAGGGGCTTTGGGAGGTACTTAGAGTTAGACTAGGTCATGAGGGTGGTGTCTCCAAGATGGAATTAGTGGCCTTATAAGAAAAGGGAGAGAGATCAAAGAATTAGAACAAAAAATTCTAAAATTTATATGGAAACACGAAAGACTCCAAGTAGTCAAAGCAGTCTTAAGAAAGAGAACAAAGTTATAGGTATCACACACACCCTGATTTCAAACTATACTACAAAGTTACAGTCATCAAAACAGTATGGTAAAGCATAAAAACAGACACACAGCTCAATAAAACAGAATAGAGAGCCCAAAAATAAACCCACGTTTATACGGTCCATTAATCTATGACAAAGGAGGCAGGAATATACCTTTTCAATAAATGGTGCTGGGAAAACTGGAGAGCTACAGCAAAAGAATCAAACTGGACCACTTTCTTACAACATATACAAAAAGAAACTCAAAACAGATGAAGGACTTAAATGTAAGACCTGAAACCATAAAACTCCTAGAAGAAAACATAGGCAGTACAGTATGATATCAGTCTTAGCTATATATATATATATATATATATATATATATATATATTTTTGGATCTGTCTCCTCAGGCAAAGGAAACAAAAGAAAAAATAAACAAATGGCACTATATCAAACTAAAAGCCTTTTTCACAGTGAAAGAAACCAATCAACAAAATGAAAAGGCACCTTACTGAATGGGAGAAGATATTTGCAAACGATATATCCAACAAGGGGTTAATCCAAAATATATAAAGAATTCATACAACTCAACATCAAAAACAAAAATAACCCCATTTAAAAAAGGACCTGGGGCTTCCCTGGTGGCACAGTGGTTGAGAGTCCGCCTGCCGATGCAGGGGACATGGGTTCGTGCCCTGGTCTGGGAAGATCCCACATGCCGCGGAGCGGCTGGGCCTGTGAGCCACGGCCGCTGAGCCTGCGCATCCGGAGCCTGTGCTCCGCAATGGGAGAGGCCGCAACAGTGAGAGGCCCGCGTACCGCAAAAACAAAAACAAAAAAGGACCTGAAGAGACGTTTTTCTAAAGAGGACATGCAGATGGCCAACAGGCACATGAAAAGATGCTCAACATCACTAACCATCAGGGAAATGCAATTCAAAACCACAATAAGATATTACCTCACATCTGTCAGAATGACTGTCATCAAAAAGACAACAAACAAGAAGTGTTGGTGAGGATATGAAGAAAAGGGAACTCTTCTGCCCTGTTGGTTAAGGTTATAATTGGCACCGCCAATATGGAAAACAGTATGGAGGTCCCTCAAAAAATTAAAAATAGAACTACCACATGATCCAGCAATTTCACATCTGGGTATTTACCCAAAGTAAACAAAAGCATTAATTGGAAAAGGTACATGTGCCCCTACATTCACTGCTGCATTATTTACAATAGCCAAGATATGGAAACAAGCTAAGTGTCCACTGATAGATGAATGGATAAAGAAGATGGCGCATATACATATAATGAAAGATTGCTCAGCCATTAAAAAAAAAATGAAATTTTGCCATGTGCGACAATATGGATGGATCTAGAGGGTACTCTGTGAAGTGAAATAAGTTAGAGAAAGACATATACTGTATGAGCTCATATGTGGAATCTAAAAAACAAACAAAATGAAAATAGGCTCAAAGATACAGAGAATAAACAGATGGTCATGGGTGAGGGGGCAGCAAAATAGGTGAACAAGATGAAGAGGTACAAACCTCCAGTTATAAAATAAATAAGCCATGGGAATGTCATATACAGCATAAGGAATATGGTCGATAATACTGCAATAACTTTGTACGGAGACAGACGGTAACTAGACTTGTGGTGATCATTTTGTTACGTATGCAAACATCAAATCACTATGTAATACACCTGAAACCAACATAATATAGTATGTCAACTATATTTCAATTTAAAAAACAAAAAGGAAAAGGGAAAGAGAGAGAGATCTCTCTCCCTCCACGTGCACCAAGGAATGGTCATGTCAGAACACAGCAAGAAGGTGGCTGTCTACAGGCCAGGAAGAGAGTTCTCACCAGAAACCAAATCTGCTGGCACCTTGATCTTGGACTTCTCAGCCTCCAAAACTGTGAGAAAATATGTTTCTGTTGTTTAAGCCACCCAGCCAATGGTATTTTGTTATAGCAGCCTGAACAAACTAATACGGGTACATATTTCACTTATTTTTCTCTTTCTTTCAAACCCTTTCCAACTCCTTTGATGGGAAGGTTGCAAAAACACAAAGGTGGTTCCAGAGCCAAAGGAGGGGAAAAAAGTTGAAAATTACGGGCTTCCAATATTGGAAAATTTGACAATCTTCCTCCAATAAAAAAACTGGCCATGCACTTATGAAATGTGTTTGGAAAGTCCCAAAGAGAAGTCATACAGTATTAGAACTAAAGAAGGGCCAATAAAGTATACATTATTTGAAGTAACTGCATTCAGAATAATTAAGTAAATATGTATCTAGGCAAGGTCCACCACAACATCATCCCAGGCAAGGGAAACAGAAGCCTCTATGCAGATGAACACTCTAGATCTATTTATAAAGAAACCCTCAGCAATTCTGCTCACAGATTGCCTGGCTGCCCTCACATCTTCAGTACTCTGTGCCATGAAAAAGTAACTGTCAAGGATAATAGGAACATGATTTGACCTACTTTTCCCTAGACGCCTGCAAGGTCTATAACTCTGGTTCTTGTGTTTATTTAGTTATCACATCTCTGGGACACATTTCCTGGCTTTCTTTGCAGGCGATCCTGTACGCCACACGTTAAGGTCATTTGTGGGTAATTCCTAAACTCCCCTGGTCATGGACCTAAAGATGTCCTATTACACTCAGCTAATCCTCAAAACATCCTTCTGAGGTAGATCATGTACAGTCATCCCTACGCGGGAAGAAAAATTCTTAGGAAAGTAGGAACACAGCCTAGAAAGGCCGAAGACCTCCATCAGTTCAGACCCCTCCCTGACCAGATGAGTCCATACCAAACCCAGTGTTTCTCCCTAACTCTCAAGTTTCCACAAACTTATCTTGCAAGAGCTGAAAATCCCCCAGTAAGATCTTTTAAGGCAGACAACCAAGACTTCTTTTTTAACTTACAGTCCAAAAAATCTACACTGTGGTAGCTTCTCGGTCAAGTCTCCTTAAGGATGGCAAATTTTTAAAAGCTCAGTAAAACCCACCAAAAGGTGCCCAAGGCTCCGGTGAGCAGGGACACCTGACAAGTCAGCCCCGTGGCCAGAGGCTCCGGCAGGGCCTGCTGGGTGACTTATGAAAGACCCCAGGCCGCCCCGCTTCTCTTAATCGCAAAACACGTCTGACCTGCTCGGGCCATTAGATGCCCTTAGAACCCAATGAGGCACCGTCCTCCACCAGGAAATCCTATCGAACACACCAGCAGGAAGTCAATATTTAAGATTCTGAGGGAGTCGCCGAGTACTAAGTGCTGGCGACTCGGGAACCTGGGAGCTAAAGCTCGCCCCGGAGCTTCCAACTCCGAGGTCTCCCCCTCGTCCGTAGCGTCGGCCAGAGCCAGTGCCGATGCCAAAGCTTGCAACGAGGCGTCCCAACACCAGCGCACACGTCTCATGCCCCCTGAAAACGGAGATCCCACTCATGGGGCCTGAGGCTCCCTGTCGGGAAAGGGCTGGCCGACTGTTAGGCACCGGACACCTGCAGCTCCCCCTCTGGGGACAGGCAAACAGCCCTTCTTCCGGCGATGCTCACGTTCCCGCAGCCTGAATCCAGGTGCGCTTGGGTTAAGTCAGGTGCATCTGGGGGAAGGGCAAACCTTCGCTCCCCTGGGGGAACCCCACGACCCCACCGTCCCGGGTCCCTCTTCTGCCCAGTCTCTCACAAGGGGACCCCTCCCGGAACCTCCCCAACTTCCAGACGCCCGCCTCGGTCGCCCGCGAGGGTGGGCGCGGGCTCCACGTGCGCGCCGCCCACGCCCATCCCGGCCGGCAGGACCCGGCCACTCACCCGGCCCCCGGCGGCGCTGCGCTTCCTCCGCAGAGTGAGGCCGCTCCGCAGCAGCGCGGGAAGGTCCCGCAGCCGCGGCCGCGGCGGCAACTGCAGCGGCTCGCGCTCCGGCTCGCGGGCGCTGGGGCTGCGGCGAAAGGCGCCGTCTGCCGCCGCCACCGCCGCCGCCGCGGCCAGGGCCGGACTCTCGCACGGCGGCTGCATCTTGACGGAGCCCACGGCCATCCTCATGCCCTGAAGGCGGCTGCGGCTGCGGCGCCGAAGGCCCCTCTTCACCGCGCTCGCCTCCGCGCGCTGTCCAAGCCTTCGCTAGGCAGTGAGAGGGCGCGACTGCGGCTCGGGCGCGGGGCGCGTAGCCCGCCGCTGCCCATTGGCGCGCGCCGCGGCCCCCGCCAGGCTCAGCCCCGCGCACCTCCCCTCCCCGCCCAGGTGCGCCTGGCCCCGCCCCGCCCCGCCCCGCCCCGCCCTCTCCAGCGGCACACCTCAGCCCGCGGACCTGGACGCCCGTGGACCTGGACCCCGGCAGCCGCTCCTCGGACCTTGGGCGCCGTCTCTTCCACAGGTGCGGGATCCCCGGAATCCAGCACCAAACCCACTCAGCTTCCCGGCCCATCCCCCAACTCCCTTTAGTCTGAAAAGTCCCGCTTCACCCCCTTTTCCTCTCTGCCAGCGTTGAACTTCGACCAAGCGAGCTGGGAAGTCTGGAGCACACCAACCACACCCCGTGTGCGCAATGGTTTTTTTCCCCGTTCCCATCACAGCCTGGCTCAAAATCGTAATCGCTATTCCCAAAAATGGTTTTTGCCAGAGAACTTCAAAATAGGCTCTGTATTCTGCTACAAGTCAAACACCAGTGAGGTAGAATTGCCCCCCCCCCCGCCGTCCCCTCTTTGACACATTCATCATTAAAGGCTAAGGGGAGAAGACTTTTGTTCGTTCGTTATGCTAGGTGTTTAGCAAAATAGGTTCAAGTCTGGTGACCTGGAGGTGAATCTCTGCTAACAAGTTGGAACCTGACCTTCCCTAAAAGCCTGATGCATATGACGAATGTGCTTGGTAAAGCGTAAAGGCCTACTGTGGTGTGAATCATTGTTTACACCATTCCAGGAGGTAGGAATAGTGGAGCCCTGGGAGTGAAACTATTCCAGCAGGGCCTTAATGTCCAGATAGCTGTGAAACTTCACCTCCCAGATCAATCTGTCTTCAACAAGGGCCAGCCAGCGCTTTTACTCCTTATCAGTAGGACACTGGGGTCCCTATCTTTGCCTAAGAGTTGTAAGAATTGAGTAAGCTTATTCACGTTAAAAAAAATAAAACTGACAAATGAGAATTACAGGAGATCGGGGCCCTTGGTTGTACCCTCAGCCCTCACAAGGTAGACGCTTGGCAAATATATACGGAAATATGGCCACATAAGGAAAAAAGAAGAATGACCTGTGACCTCTGCCTTCAAGAAACTTAAAACTTGGCCCAGGACTAGATACACATATAAAATAACAAAGATATTGCCTTGTACTCTTGGTAATTGCCAAGTGAGTGTGAATAATGAGCATTGAGGGCCACAGGAGCGAGGAAATCCTTCTAGTCTGGGACAGGCAAAAGTCAGTGAAGGGAGATTGAGCTGTGCCTTCAAGCTGAGTCCAGAAGCTTCAACCAGGCAGAAAGAAGGGTGCCGGTCCTTTGAGTAAGAAGGAAAGACATGAGAAAAACACCAAGGTGGTAGGACACAGAACATATTGGGCACTGAATGTGTCACACTGGTGGGAGAGAGGGATCATGTGATAGAGAAGAAGGAGAAAATATCAGAATGGATGCTGGTGACACACTGGAGAAGGCCTTAAATCCTGTCACCTAAAGCTGTGTGTGTTTACTGGAAAGGGCCCTACAATAAACTCTATCATCCATTACAATTTCCAAATACCTATCTCATATATTGAAGGCTGAAATCCCATTTGTATGTACCATATGAGGATACCAGCTTATATAATGTTGAAATACTTCTGCTTCCACTGGTAGTTCGGCATTGCCTTGAGCCCCTATGTCATACTCCATACTCTAAACTCCCTCCTGAAACACCAACTAAAGGTCCACTAGACCTTTAGTCCTGGTCCAGTAGAGGCCCTCCAGGACACTTGTGGTCAGTTATCACTCTGATTAGGGGATGCTTGTGCCATATCACCCCTGATAATACCCTTTGAATCACACCATGAACCTCCTCTGCTCTAAAATAGAACACATGTGTTCTGACTCCTAGGCCAGATCCTTGGTCTTCACACTCTTTCACAGTGCTTCTCAATGCAAGACCAGGGAGTTTGGACTTTATCCCATAGATTCTATGGTATTGACCAAAGTTCTAAAACTCAGTGTCAACAGGACCTTTGGAAAGTTGGCTTGGGGTAAGCTGCTAAATGACAATTACCATATAGCCATGGTATAAGACAGGCACTAGGGAATAGCAGGAATGTGTAAGCAGAAGAGCCATGCCACTATTTAGCTCAAATCAAGCAATACCCCACCCCAGGACCTTTGTACTTGCTGTACCCTCTGCATGGAATACACTTCCTCTGAAATGCTGTCCAGTAGAACTTTCTGCAATGGTGGAAATGTTCTGTATCTGCTTTGTAGCCACTACTCATATGTGGCTTTTGAGCACCTGAAATGTGACTAGTGTGCCTGAAAAACTGAATTTTACATTTTATTTAATTTTAATTAATATAAATTGAGAGAGCCACTTATGGCTTTGGGCTACTCTATTAGAAAGCATAGTTCTAGAATTCAGTGTTACCCTTCCTCTACTCCTTAAGCTTTTTTTAACTGAAATGTCTCCATTTCAGTGAGGCCATCCATGACCATGTGATTTTAAATTGTAGCCCTTCCCATCTGCCCCTTTCCTGCTCTCTTTCCTAGCCCTCCAATGTTGCCATCCAACATTCTATGTATTTTACTTATCGATTTTCTCTGTTGTCTGCCTCCCCACAACAAGAATATAAGTCCCACAAGGGCTTGAAAGTCTTTTTCCTTTTGTTCAGTATCTAGAACATATTAGTTGAAGAACTGAATTTTACCACATATAAGGACCCAGTTTTTCAAAAGGAGCTTAATCTGGATTTTTACATAAACTCTCCTGATTTTGCAATGTTGGAAGTTAAAACAAAAAAGCAAATCCTATGTATGCCAACATTGCACAGGTCAAACAAAACCTGAGAGCTGATTTTTACTTAGGAGAATGACATCATCAAAGTTAAAGTTTATGGAAATACATATGGTAAGAAAACACAAGCTTTATTGGCTATTTGCAGTGAGGGGCAATGGGAGACCAGGAAGATAACTCTGACTTTCACCTAGCTACAAAGGGATGAGGGTTTGAATGAGTGGGGTCAGTGGAAACAGAGAGAGGTTAGATGTCAGAGATTATAAAAGAAAGCTCCTCAGGACTTGGACGCATGTTAGGAGGAGTAGAAAAGTACTTCAGGTGGTGATACAGATTGTATTTTACAAAGATGACCAACACAGCGTCTCCTATCCCTACGATCTTCTGCAGTACAATCTTGCCACTCCCCCATGAAGAAAACAGGATTTATTTCTCCATCTCCTTGAACCTGGGCTGGCCCTATGACTACTTTGGCCAGTAGAATCCAGCAGAGGTAACAGTGCCTGTTCTGTAGGTAGCCCCTAACTGACCTGGTAGATTTCACTTCCTACTCTCTTGGGACGCTGGCTCTTGGGATGCTCCCACTCAGAGCCCAGCTTCCTGTGAGAAGCCCAAGCCGTCTGGAGAGTCTAGATAGAAGTGCTCTGGCAACTGAGCTCCCATCCAACAACCAGCATCCATTGGCAGCCATTTGTAAGCCATTTGGAACCTCCGGTCTAGCCACGCCTTCATGTGACCCCTGTGCTAGCTAACATCTGACTGCAGCCACGGGGAGAAGCCAAAGCAAGAACTCCGCAGCTGAGCCCAATCAACACACCGAACTATGAGAGTTAGCAGCAAATTGTTTTAAGACACTCAGTTTAGAGGTATTTGTTACACAACAATAGATGACCAAAACATATGGCTCAGAAAAGTGTGAAGAACATACTCCCTTATGAATTCAAATAAATAAATAAAGGGAGATTTATACTTATATTTGTATGTGTGTGAAGAAACGTGAAGTTTCTTTGCAAGTGGTCAGACTTGGCTACATGAGAAAGGAAAGAAGGGAGGTGTTTTTCAAGCATAATTAAAATTTTTTTTTAATATTACCTATTCAAAAAAATTCAATTAAAAAAATGGCTCTGGATTTAGAGAAGTCAGGAAGTAGGGGGAGCTGGTTTTGGGGATTTTCGTTTTACATAGCAGTTAAACTAACTAAACTAGAAGGCACCCCAGTGAAAATCTGACCAGCAAGAACAGAGGGTGAGCTGGAGCTCAAGAGAAAAGAATGGAGAGATAACTATGTTGGGGACCAAATATCTGACAGTAAAGGGTGGAACTGGACTGCAGTGCTCAGAGGACAGAAGGGAGCAGAGACACAACCCCTTGCTACGCTGGGCCCTTGGAGAACACACAGCATGTGTCTTTCCATTTCTACTTGTATGAAATTTGAAGCAGTGACTCACCTCGGTTTTCCCCCTTTAATTTCTGTGATCCCATGTGATTATCAAGAACGCCAAGGAGAGACTTTCCTGGTGGCGCAGTGGTTAAGAATCCGCCTACTAATGCAGGTGACACGGGTTCAAGCCCTGGTCTGGGAAGATCCCACATGCCACGGAGCAACTAAGCCCGTGTGCCACAACTACTGAGCCTGTGCTCTAGAGCGCACGAGCCACAACTACTGAGCCCATGTGCCACAACTACTGAAGCCCACGCACCTAGAGCTCGTGCTCCAAAACAAGAGAAGCCACTGCAATGAGAAGCCCGTGCACTGCAACGAAGAGTAGCCCCCGCTCGCCACAACTAGAGAAAGCCCATGTGCAGCAACGAAGACCCAACACAGCCAATAAATAAATAAATTAATTAATTTTTAAAAAAAAAGAACGCCAAGGAAAGCATCTGTTAGCTGGGTTTTTTCCCTTGTGTTTTTCCCCTCCCTGTGTACCTACGTATCTCCCGATAAATGTACACAATGTATGTCATGCTAAAGAGTCTCCTAACACCATAGCTATCAGTCCTCCTTGGTGTCCAACCCTTCCCAACATCTCTTGTTTTAATTTTTCCTCTATTTAAGATGTTTTGCATTGCTTTACCAGCTCTCTGAAATGGAAAATCTAAATACAATTTCGCCCCTCTATTCAAGCCTGCCAACACTTTAATATGTAATGATCAAAACGGATTGAATCAGACCTTCCCAAGGACTAAGGGTGAGCAGTGGGAGGTCAGAGGCAGAGTTTGCA